CTAAATTATAATATTTAAGTAAAATTAATTTATAATAACTTTAATATAAAAATTTTAAAAAAGCTAAAGCTTGCGCTAAGGCCTATTTTAAAAAATTTAAATTTTTAAAAATTATTTAGCTTTATTAAAATGCTAAAGCTTGTACTTTACTAAAAGTTTTTTTTTTAAAAATAATTATTATAAAGTGGCCTTGCTTAGTAGGAAGGTTTATAAAAATAAAATTATTTATATATACTAAAAAAATTATTAACTTACTAGTAAAAAGGTATTTTTTTAGGTATTATAATAAAGCTAAATTTATATAAAATAGTAGTTAAATTAAGTTATTAAAAATAAAAAGACTTTTTAAGACTATAAATAATTTTAAAAGCTTTTAAAAGCTTTTTTTTTTACTTATAGTTATTTAAAAATTAAAAGTATATAAGTTTATTAAGGCCTGTATTAAAAAAGGTATTAATAATATTATATTATTTTATATTTATATTAAAAAAGGTAATAAGTGTTATAATAACTTAAAAAAATAGGTAAAAATTATAGCTACTTAATTATTTTTATAATTAATTAATTTAAGATTTTTATATATATAAATTTAAGCTTTAGCCTTAAAAAAGTAGCTATTTATATTAAACTTATATATAAATACTTATAATAAAAAAATTAGTTTATTTAAACTTACTTTTTATTTATTAACTACCTCCCATGCTTTTATTTTTTTAAGTTTATTTAATTTAAGGTTAATAACTTTAAAAAATATATTTTTAAGTAAATAATTTTTAAAAAATTTTTAGTGCTTGGAAGAAGGCAGCAGTTTATTTTAATAAAAATATTTTTTTTAGGGTTTTAATAAAAAGTAAAAAAGGTAAATTATATATAGTTATAGGAAATAAAATTAAAAATAATTATAATAATAATATAGCTTGTGTAGCTTATTAAAACACCTAAGTAAAACTTAAAGTTTTTTTAATTATTTTAAGGTGCTAGCCTTTATTTAGTTAATTATTTAAAAAAAAATAATAAGTTTAATTCTTGGTCTCCTGCCTCCCCTTATATTTTTAATAATAAAATAAATAGGAGTTTAGGAGTGGGCTTATTTTATTTTTTATAATAATTATTAATTAGCTAGGTTTAAAAATAAATTTTTTTAAGTTTAAAAGCATGTAACCTATTATAAGGGCTATAATAACTTATTAAAAAAACTAGCTAATATTAATTTTTATATAAAACTTTTATAATAATAAGGTTTTAAAATAGGGTTTAAAGTAAAAAAAGGTAATAAGTTTTTTAATAAATTAAAGGCCTTAATTTTATTAAAATCAGGCCTAGGTATAACCTTATACTTAAATCTTTTTTTATTTTTATTTTTTTTAATATTTTTATTTTTAAATATCTTTACTATCCTTGGCTTGCTTGTTGTTGGAATACCCTTATTTTTTTTTAAAGAATTTAGTAAAGTTTAAATTTAGGTTTATATTTTTAATAATGCAGCGGTAAGAGGGCAGTTTAAAAATCTTAACTAATAATTTAAAAAAATTAATTTAAATATTAATAGTAAGAAATAGTTTTTATAAATTATAAAGCCAGGATTTATTAAAAATAATATTTTTATAAGCTTTAACATGTTAATTTTAAGAAAATTAAATTTACTAAATATTTAAGGCTTAATAACCTATAAAATATTTAAGTAAGGCCCTTAGCTTTATTTTATAAAGGCCTTTTTCCCAGGATTTTCTTACCTAAAAAAAACACCTAATAGTTTAAATACTTAAAATATAAGGCTTTTTATTAGTAAGTTTTTTTTATAAAGTTATTTAACTAATAACTTTAATAAAAATTTAATTACTAATATAAGCTACTACTTTTATAACCTAGGGCTATATATTAAGCAGAATATTTTTATATAAAGTTATTATTTTAGCTTTTTAAATTAGGATGCCTCCGGAGCGCTTAGCCATACTATTTTAAAATAAAAAATATAAAGTAAACTAGTTTTAAAAAATGCCTTTAAAAATAGTAAAGTTAGGAATATTATTACTAAAAATAGATTTATTATTATTAAATAGGAATTTAGAAGTAACTTTATAATAGTTTTATATAAATTATATAAATTATTTAATAATATTTTTATAATTACTTTTAAGCTAGTAAGTATAGGCCTAGTATATTTTAAAAAATATATTATAAAAATAAGTTACTTATTAATTTTTATTTATTACTAGCTTTATAAAAATAAAATTGGTATAAATATAAATAAATAGCTTAGTAACTAGTTTTTTAGGCTATTTAAATATTTATTAAGAAGTTTAATTAACCTAGTAAGTATTATAATACTTAAGTAGTTAAAAATTAAAAATACTAACTTTTTATATTATTATAAGAAGATGCTTAAGCGCTTTATCATTAATATATTTATCTAAATATTAGTAAAAAGCTTTAAAATCTTTTTAAAACTATACTTTTTAAGTTAAAGTTTTAACTTTTTATTAAGTTAGAGCGTTAGCCTTTTTTAGTTTTAAAAAGCTTTTTTTTAGTTTTACTATTTAAAGGCCTAAGAAATAATTTTTAAGGTAAAAAACTAGTTTATTATTTTTAAGTATTAGGGTATTAAAATTTTAGGTATATTTAACTTTTTAAAAAGGCCTTGCTGCCATAATATTAAGGTAAAATTTAAAAATATATATAATTTTATATAATATAAATAATATAATTTTTTTATTAAATACTTTTAAATAAATAAAAACTAATTGATAGCCTTATATAACTATAATTATATTTTTAGCTTAAATATTATTACCTTAAGATTAATTTAAAAAAATAAAATAGTTAAAATTATTATAAACATGGATAAAAACACTAGTATTAAAAATAAAGGTATTTTAAAGTTTTAAATTACTTAAAATACTAAATACTAGGGCCGCTCCATAGTATTCTTTAAAAATTATAAATTAAATATTTTTTTAATTATTTTACTAAGCTTTCTAGTTCTTAGTATTTTTTTTCCTATTTTTAAAAAGCTTAGTATTTTTAACCTTTAACTTTTAGAGCTTTTTACTATATTTATTATTTTTTTTAAGTGCTTTGCTAATCTTTTTTTTTAAACCTTTATTTATTTTATAAAACTTTAAATAGCGTGAATATATAAAGTTATAATAAAACTTTATAACATGCTTATATTTATAAAAATAAATTAGTTTATTATTAGTTAATGCCTAGAAAGGTTTATTAATAAAAAAATTTTTAGTATTTAAATTACTAGTAAAGGGCTAATTTAACTTTTTAGTAAGTATAGTAAAGGCTATTTTTTTATAAAGGTTTTAGCAAAGCTATTAGTAATAAAAAAATATTATTAAAACTTAAAAATAAAGGTAAAATAATTAATTTTACTAGGTTTTTTATAATTTAATTAATTTATATAGCGCTCCGTATAGGCTATTAAGTATTTATTAATAATTTTTAAAAATATTATATTAGCTATTTTATTATTAGCCTTAGGTTACTTAAGGTATAAAATTTTTTAATAAGTATATTTATAATTTTAAAATTATTAAGTAACTTTTTCTTATTAAATTAATATAATAAAGGTAGTAATATAACTATTAAAGGCCTTAAGTTTAATTTTAAAATTAATAAAAGTAAGTTATTACTTTAATTTAATAAAAACCTTTATAATAAGCTTATCCTTAACAAGTTACTAAATAAAAAGTATAATTAACTTTTATATAATATTATTAATATTTTAAATTTTTAAAAAAACATGCTTAACATAATTTTATTTTTAATTAAATATTTTAAATACCTTTTTATTAGTATTATCTCCAGGAAGTTAAAAAAGCTTTAAAAAAAGTTTAATAAGTTACTTTTAAATTAAAATACTTTTAAACTTTTATAATAATTATAATATATAAAATATAGCTATACCACACTAGCTAGTTTTTTTTAAACTTTAAAAAAATTATTATATTTAAGGCACTAGTAATAAAGCTTATAATAATTTTTAAATTAAGTATAAAAGTTAAAGTTTAATTAATATTTAACTTTCTAGGTATAAAAAATAATTAATTATAAAAGGCCTTTATATAATAAAAGGGCTGGTACTTAAGAAATATAAATAGCTTTAAAAAGTTTAAAAAAGGTAAGTAAAAATTTAATAAATTA